AGAGCGCTGACTCCAATAAGAAAAAAAAACTTTATTCCCTCAGGTTACCCTCATACTCAGAAACACTTGGGTACTCAGTACAAGTGCATGATGAGCAGCCAAATCAGCATCGAATGGTCCGCTCCGTTAAAGGGGAGTTGCAGTCCCCTTAAGAAAAAGCAAAATGGTGTTTTTAAAAGCAGATCCATGATGACATTACAAATATCATTAACAATTGGATAAATAAATATTAAAATCCTTGTAATTACTTTGAATCGTATTTCTAAGTCGGCGCCATGATGGCTGTGGGCATCTGAAGCCCCCAGGTCCTTATTTCCTGGATTCGTGCTGCTGGCTATCCCAGCATGCAACACTCGTTTTCGCACATGCGCATTACAGACACTGCTTGGCGCGACGTGTGCAGTACAGGTTGTCCCATAGCAATGGTGGGGATGGATGAAGTTCTTGCCCCCATCAGGCAACCTGTACAGCACTGCACTTGAAGCAAGCTAAATATATATCTCTGTTAATTGTTACTCTCTCTAAATATATTTATATTATTGGTACGGACATTTTCAATATATATATATATATATATATGCTACTCAAGCATAGAGCACAGCAGGATACTGCAGACACGTCCTCCTATAAGCATGGACTCCGGTAAAATGGCGCGAAACACAGCCCATTGGAAAGTGTCTTTTTCCAGTTTCCAAGTCCCTCAAGCACAGGAAACCAAAGGACTCGTGGGATACAGGAAACGACAGAGTTGAAGCTGTTATAGCTGCAAAGGGTGGGCCAACTCAATATGCAAACCCTACGGACTAAGACTTGGGTGTAAAAAGTTCATGTTTGTGCTAAAGCAAGCCCCAAATACTTTTGGCAATATAGTGTAGATTTTTTTGGAACCGGAATTTAGTGTCACTTTAAAGTGAAACTTTAACCACTTGCCCTCCTGAGGATTTACACCCTTTCCTGACCAGGACATTTTTTTTGCGTTATGGCGCTTCGTTGTTTTAACTGACAGTTGCACAGTCATGTTCCACGCTGCACCCAAATAAAATTTATGTCCTTTTTTTCCCACAAGATTGAGCTTTCTTTTGGGGTGATATTTGATCGCCTGTGCATTTTTTATTTTTTGCGCTATAAACAAAAAAAAATACCGACAAAGGATTGTTGTCATCGATGGAAAAATGAAATTTTGAGAAATAACAATATTTCAAACTTTTTGCTATTAAACATGTCCAGTAGAAAAAAAGTGAAAAATAGTAATTTTGTCATAAATTTAGGCCAAAATGTATTCTGCGACATGTGTTTGCTAAAAAAGAAAAATCCCAATACGTGTAAATTAATGCAACAGTTTACGTGAAAGTTATAGCGTTTACAAATGGCGGTATAGATAATGGGATTTTTTTTCTACTAGTAATGGCGTCGATCAGTCAACTTTTAGCGCTACTACAGCGGACATTCTGACACTGGGGGGGAACTAACTTGATGTCACTGACACCCCAGTGACACCAATACAGTGATCAGTGAAACAGTTTTGTGAAGAGGAACTGGGCAGGAAGGGGTTAATGTGTGGGGCGATCAAAGGGTTAACTGTGTGCTGGGAGTGTTTTACTAGGGGCAGTGGGGTGTGTTCTTCACTGTAAGCACACTGATCGGGATGGCTGTACTGTGCAAGCCATCCCTAGCAGTGTGCTCCCTGAGCTGACAGGGAGGAAGATTGTTGTAAACAAAACAATCTTCCTTCCTTCGGAGATGATCGGTAATCACTGTTCAGCCAGCGGGTAATTACAGGCCGGGACTCGGTGATTGACATCTGTGGCCGCGAATGGCATGCGCGGGTATGCAAAACCCCACCAGAAACTGCAAATGACGTGTGTGTGTGTGTGTATATACATACTTTATATATTATATATATACACACACACACACACACACACACACGTGATTCTGTGCACAGGTGCCACCCTGTGGCAGTATATCTGATATAGGGTGGTCCTTAAGCGGTTAATGAAAAAAAATCATGAACAGACAGAATTTTTAATGCAAAAGAGACATACAGGGGTAGATTTACTGAAACTGGTGTAGTCAGAATCTGGTGCAGCTGTGCATGGTAGCCAATCAGTTTCAGCTTGTTCAGTTATAGCTTTGGCAATAAAACCTGGAAGCTGACTGGTTTCAATGCGGAGCTGCACCAGATTTTGCACTCTAGTAAATAACCCCCACAATGTCTCTTCTGCATTAAAGTTGCTTACCTGCCATGGCTGTATATAGGGGGGTGCTGGGGGTGAGATGCCTCCCCCCCCCCCCAGTTTTCAGTTGTGCCCCCCCAGACTGCTGAGCTCCCCCCCCCATCCCCACACTCAGAGCCGGGACAAGGGAAAGGGAGCCTGGAGCAATTAAGAAAGTGACGAAGAAGAGAGAGCAAGGAGGAGCTGCTCCATATAGCTGATGACACAGGATCGCTCTGACCATCGGGCTTTACACAGTTTCATTACCCGCCCCTTTTCTACATTTGCTGCTGCTGGGGGATGAGCGGTCCTTGGAGGAGATGGGGGCTAGTAATGAAACTGTGTACAGACCGATGGTCAGATCGAATATGTGTCATCTGCTATATGGAGCAGCACTGTGCAGAGCTCTGCCCCTTCTTCCTGTCAGAACAGCGCTGCTCCATATAGCAGATGACACAGGATCGCTCCTGTGTCATCTGCTATATAGAGCGGGGGAAGGGGGCGGGGTATTTGAGCTAAGAGGGGGCGGGGGATTTGGGCTAGGAGGTGGCTTGGGGGGGAATTTTTGCACTTATTTGGGCTAAGGGATTTTGCAGCTAAGAGGGTGGTGGGGGAGGGGGCACGGGGACTTTTTGGCTAAGAGGTGGCGGGGGATTTGGGCTAAAAGTGGGCAGAGGATTTTGGCTAAGAGGGGGCGGGTGATTTTTAAACTAAGAGGGGGCAGGGGATTTGGGCTAAGAGGAAGCAATGGATTTGGAAAGGGAGAGGATCTGTGCTGGGAAGGGTATCTTGGCAGGGGGTTGTGCTAGAATCAAGAATGTAGGGGAATTTTTTCATAGGGAGGGGATTGGAGGATGGGGATTTGGGGGGGATTTTATTTAGAAGGGGGGATTTGTGCTAGAAGGGGGGATTAGAAGGCAGGGGGGATTTGTGCTAGATGGGGGAATTGGGGCGGATTTGTGCTAGAAAGGGGGGTTGGGGAGGGGCTTGTGCTAGAGGAGGGGGGATTAGTGGGGGGATTTGTGCTAGGAGGTGGTGAAGGAATTTGGGGGACTGGAGGGGAAGGAATTTGTGCTAGGAGGTCCTCAATCTGGAGGTGGAATGGGGGGGGATTTATGCTAAGAAGGAGAATTTTGGGGAGATTTGTGCTTGGATGGTAAATTTGAGGGGAAAGTGGATGTGTGCTTGCTTGGAGGGGTAATTTTTTTGGGTGAGGTAGATTTGTGCTGTAGAGGGTATTGGGTGCATTGGAGGTGGGATTGGGGGCAAAGATTGTGCCGGGATGGGGGTTTATACTGGGAGGAGGAGTTTTTTGCATTGTTTTTTTTTGGGGAGAATTTTGGCTTGCAGACAGAGGTTTAGGCTTGGGGGGGGGCGTGTTGATTAGTACTATTTTTTTTTTTTTTTTTTTTTTTTCAGGGGTAGGGATTTATGCTGAGACAGGATGCTCAAACATAGGGGGCTTGGTTTGTCATCTTCACCCTGGGAGCTAGATGACCTTGTCCTGACACCACACACAGGGCAGTCAATAGATGTCCTCCTCCCCACACAGCACATAGTTGAGATCAGATTCCCTATCAGACACAGCCTCAATCTGCAGTGTATAGCTGGCTGCTATGTTGCAGTTTTGACCCTGTCCTCTTCTCTTCTTACCCCTGTCCTCTACCCTGCTGACCTTCTGTACCCTGCCCTTCTGACCCCTGTCCTCCATCCTGATGACCCCCACAGACTCCCCTTCTGACCACTGTCCTCTGTCTTTCTTACCCTTTTCTCTGCCCTGCTGAACCCTTTTTTTCTGTCTAGTCTTTGCCCTGATAAACCCCCTCCACCCTGCTGACCCCTGGTTTTCTTGTCTGTTGACCCCTATCTTTTGCCCTGCTGAACCCTTGTACATTTCCGTGCTGACCTCCCTTCCTCTGCCTGCTGACCCCTATCCTGTGCCCTACAGAACCCCTTGTATACTGCCCCACTGACTCTTGTACACTCTCCTGCTTATCTCCCATTTTCTGCCCTGCTGACCCCTATCCTGCGCCCTACAGAACCCCTTGTATACTGACCCCCTGTACACTTCCTTCTTTCCCCTGTAAACTTCCTTGATATCTCGCTGTAAACTGCCCTACAAACTAATGGCCTCTGTATTCTGCCCTACGAACTGCTTTCCCTCTCTCTCTGCCCTGCTGCCCCCCCTGTACACTGCCCTACTGACTTCTATACACTGCCCTATTGACCTTGCATCCCCTGCCCCCCTGATGTTTTTTACTGCACCCCCATATCAGACAGGCTAGATCCGGACCTGTTACCTGCCCCTCTGCACAAACAGTTTAGTATAGAATTTCGGAGATGAATGAACTCGCACACGTGTGGGAGTGATATCATCTTGGCCTGGTCAGCTCCAGGACATCACAGTGCTGGAGAGAAGGTGAGTATAGCTCCGCTTCAAGAATACATTTACCGTATTTTTCGCTCCGTAAGACGCACTTTTTTCCCCCCAAAAAAGGGGGGAAAATGACAGTGCGTCTTATGGAGTGAATATGGAGCAGCCAGTCCGGTATTTCCACCGCCGCCGTGTCAGAATACCAGGCTGGTCCGCTCAGCTCTGCAGCGGGACTTTACCTGTTCCTCTATCCAGCGGCGTGCTGTCTTCCCCGGCTTCTGTAGTGTGGGCGCTGGGCTTGACAGCCGGGTGCCAAGTGCGCATGCGCAAGAAGCGGCACTCTTTGTGAATGGTAAGGCGGCACCAGGGACACATGACAGGTCCCAGAAGCCGCCGGACCAATCACAAAGCGCAGTGCTTCTCGCTCATGCGCACTGGGAACCCGGCTGTGTCATGCTGAGCGCCCACACTACAGAAGCCGGGAAGACCGCGTGCGGCTGGATAGAGGAAAAGGTAAGGTCAAAGAACAACTCCGCGGAAGTAAGAGCGGGTACCTATCAAATTCAGGTACCCACTCCCCCCCCCCTCCCCAAAGGTCAGCAGTTATCTCCTGTACTGTCCGCAGTCTCTGGTCATCCCTGTACTGTCCACAGTCTCTGGTCATCTCCAGCACTGTCCGCAGTCTCTGGTCATCTCCTGTACTGTGTCCGCAGTCTCTGGTCATCTCCTGTACTATGTCCGCAGTCTCTGGTCATCCCCTGTACTGTGTCCGCAGTCTCTGGTCATCTCCTGTACTGTGTCCGCAGTCTCTGGTCATCTCCTGTACTGTGTCCGCAGTCTCTGGTCATCTCCTGTACTGTGTCGCGCAGTCTCTGGTCATCTCCTGTACTGTGTCCGCAGTCTCTGGTCATCTCCTGTACTGTGTCCGCAGTCTCTCTATAATTTGGTCCTAATAAATACTGCACTGCTTACTTTCATTTACAGATATTTTGAATTCCAGAAGCAGAAGACGGTAGAGACTCACACTGACATCAAGGGGCATATTTATAAAGCCATGAGACACTGCAGGTGTATCTTCCTGGGGGAATGTGTGTTACATTACAGTGACTGATTCACTTATATTGAATGTTTGGTGTATGTCACATCCACTGATTCATAAATATGCCCTTTGCAGAGCACAGTTAGTGGTGATCAGCTACATTTTCTAGCACACTGTGGTGGATTGGACCCATCCAGTGGTCATCATGTTGGCAATGGAAAAGTAAAAAACTGTGGACTGGGCTGACACCGGGCTCAGGGTAGAAAACACCTTCAGTGCACCTATATGGGTTGTTAGACTTGCATTTGTGGGGAGTAAAAATTGCTGCATTTGTAGGAAAGAAAGAAAAGCACCACTGCTAATAAGGAAAGCAAGAATCAAATACCAAGTGGAAAGAAAGAAGGAACATTGGGGGACAAACCACAAAAGGGATTGTGGGAATGAAGTGAAATGTTTGGGGCACATGGATCAACTGTTGAAATGTTTTGGGGAGATGAAGATAGGAATGAAAGAATGAAGAAAGAAAGAAGAAGGCAGGAGAGAAGGGTGGGTGAGAGGAAAATATAGGGTACCAACAGACAATGTATAAAAGTATAGAGAAAGGAGGAGAGACAAAAGAATGACACAAAGGTAAAGTGGAAGAAAAAATAAAAATAATCTGCTTTCAGAAACTTTCATCATGGACAGTAAAGAATACCATGCAGTACATTAATTCACCAGCAGGGGGAGCAAGTGTAGTGTTTATAACCTTCCAACTGAAAAATAGAAATAGATTTCCACAAAGTAGTAAACCCTAAACTCAATGGTTTTTGGTTTGCCAAAGTACTATCATACTTACCGACATCTTCATCTCAGTTCCCAAGTGACTGTCAGGCCTGCCCATGGCCAACGCATATCACGCCTTCTTTGCCATTAGTCCTGCCCCATATTATGCCCACTTTCTGGTTGGTACTGCTACTAATTATGCAGGAGCCACCCTTTTACAGCTACAATTCCCTCAGTAATGTCCTTTCTTTGAGGCACTGTGCATGCTCATTAACTGAAAAGGAGTAATGCTGAGATCTCATGATGCAGCCCGGGATACAGTATTGTCAAGGCATACACTTTAATCAATTCAAGTCCGGACGCTTTCACCCCCTTCCTGTCCAGGCCTATTTTCAGATTCAGTGCTATCACACTTTGAATGACAATTGCGCGGCCATACAACACTGTACCCATATGAATTTTTTTAGCATTATTTTGAGACAGATAAAACTATTTTGGTGGTATTTATTCACTACTGGGATTTTTATTTTTTGCTATATAAATGAAAAGTCCAAACATTTTGAATAAAAAAGTTTTTTTCTTATAAATATTTTGCAAATAAATAATCTTTCTTCATAAATCTTGGCCAATATGTATTCAGCTATCGTTTTAGTGAAAAAAAAAAAAAAACTAACGCAAATTAGGTTTTTTTTTTTTTACATTTTTATTTTATTTTTTTATACTTTTATTTGTTTTTTTTTTTTTTCAACATGCTGTCACCCTAGCAGTGCGGTGTCACATAGTGACACTACTACTTGTGGGGGGGGTGATGAAGATTTTTTTTTTCCTTTTTTTACACTGATTTGCTTTTACTCCCCATAAAGGCTGTAAAAGCAATAATTTCTCCTTCTCTCTGGCTGCATTCTTGCAGCCATTGAGAAATACTGTGAGAGCTGTGTTTGGTCACAGCTTTTCACATGGTACAAGGCTGTTGTGAATATCCTTGTACCATGTGACCTCTGTGATCATTCACAGATTTCACAAGTGGTAAGCAATGTCAGGAAGTGACATCTTGTTTACTACTGTTCCTGTGATCACTGATTGGCCATCAGTGATCACATGAATATCGGGACCTCTGTGTGACGATCGGTGTTATGACACAGCGGGCACCGGATCGTGGTGCAGCGCGATCCCAGGGAGCACGCACAGGCAGTGAATGTGGGGGCCGTTTATAAATGGCCACCCGCTTCTGCATGCTCTCGTCCGGCCATTTATTTACATGGGCCGGATGGGAAGTGGTTAATGTATGGCCGGCTTTAGTTGCCCTCTTTCCCAAGCATTCCTTTTCTCCCACAGCTCTGTTTGGCTCTATACACACTGGCTTACTCCAGTGCTCTTGGCAGAAAAGAAGCGCTAATTTTGAGCGGTTTTGTACTAGCATTTAGCAGCATTTAGGAGCGCTTAGCATTTTTCCTGCCAGAAAAATGCTTTCAAAAAAACGCAAAACAAGGTTTTTTCTGCCTCCTAAATGCTTTGCTTAAAAAAATGCCCCTAAATTCATAATGCACATGATAACCTAGTATGACATTAGTTGCTTCTACCTTCAAAACGCTAAACTCATCAAGGAGCAGCGTTTTTTTAAGCCAGTGTGCCTGGAGCCTACAGCTTTCAGACACAAGAAAAGATAGCCCTGTGTATGCCCAGAGACACTTCAGTACATTTATTTCTGCCATCATAGACAGTTATTGGGACATTCGCGAAAGAGCTACGAGGGCTACGTTTAATAGAAGGGAGGAGGCTGTGTTAGAAAGTTGACTCTTCATGAAATAGTCAAATTTTCTGTCAAGTTTAAAGGCTAGGTTGACATCTGTGCGGGTGGTGCGGCTGCGGATTCGCACAAAAATCCGTGCAGCCGCACCACCCGCACAGAGGAATGCGGACTTGCAGGCGAGTGCCATTAGTTCTATTGGTATGCTGCCCGCACCGGAAAACGCAGCTGTACTGGGAACCGAGGTTCCCGTGCGGGCTGCATTTTCAGAAGCAGTGCAGGGACTTCTTCCGTGGGTATCACGAGGCACAGGAGTCTATTCAAATGAATGGGCTCTTGTGGCCGCGCAGTACGCGGCCCGAATGGCCCCATATATGTGAACCTAGGGTTAAGGCATTTTTTGAATGAATAAAATGATTTCTGGAAATGAAAAACACAGCAATTAATCACTGACATACTTTCTTTTTCTGTGTTTTTACTTGCAGGGGACCACCCTCTAATCCATCCTGGCTGGCAGTCGCTTTAAAGCAGAACGAAACCTTCCTATTCTGTACAGGCAAGAAAGCTGTCATCTTAGGCTTGTTTGACCCGCAGTTGCGTTGGTGCTGCACATGTGATGTGTTATGGCACCAGCCACTTGAAGGTTTTCCAGTTTGGCTGAGAGCAACAGCCATATGTGACAGTTCTCATTCACAACTTGCCTTAAATGTAACTTTTTTGGGGGCAACAGTCAAGCCTGTGGGTTTAGTTCTGCTTAGGTGCTGGAGTCACATAGCCGGGGCGTTTTGCTTTGTATTCTTCCACTGACAGGATAGCGCGGCAATGTATTGGTAGCCAGATTTTGGTCTCGTTACACGGGCAAGGAGAAGTTTTCATTTGGCCTCATGCGCTTGGCTCTACGGGCCATGTATGATATAATTATTGCATATGTCTGGTAAGTCCCGAAGCTGCATACAGTCTTCCACAGAAATGACTAGCTATGAGCGGCTGTATGTGGGTATGTGGTGGTAATGGCATACACCCATGTATAGCGTATGCATGTATTCCTTGAATTCAAAAAGTTTGCTTTTGGGAATCATTCCGTATGCTATACATTGGTTTACACAAGTACTGGCATATACCTGTGCACTGCCATTCATGTCTATTGGCAGTTGTATGCAGCACTTGGACTTCTCGAGTGCAGAAATATGACCATATTTACATCATGCTTTTTCTCGTATGTCCGCGTGCATGAGGCCTTTGGATACGAGGACTGTGGCATATGCTGCATTGTGTGTTCACCACAACTGACATTTTCAACAACTGTGTGAAGTTCCCTTAAAGTGTGCTTTTATTCTTCTTCCCGTCAGTGATGGAACATCAACGATCCTCCCCAAGCACCAACATCTTCACCCCATCTTCTTCAGGATTCAACATCTTCAGCCATCTGGATTGGTTCAGCGGGATGACATAACTCCTGTGCAGCTGGCAAGCAGGAAGGTAAGACTTTTATTGCAGAAGAGACACAGCCTCCTCTTGAACCTCTTTACCGCTTCCTGGTGGAATTTTAAATGGGCTTCAATGCCAGGAATCCGAGCAGCTTCTCTATCATGTGACTGCTGAGATTGGCTCTCACAACAGTCTCATGATCAGGAGCCTGATCTGCCACATGATCGGGTGTGCTCCCAGCTACGTCAGAGTGCTGGGAGCACACAGAAACCCAGGCTACTATTGGTAAATGGTAAAGTTCTGCTGTAAAGCTGGATTCTAGTCAGGTGGAAAATGCTATTTAATTTTGCTACAGTATGTATTAAAGCCCCACTTGGGCCTGGGGTAGGGGGATTTATTAGAAATAAATTACGCAGCTAACATAAATTATTTACTTTCTTGTGATATCTGCCATCTGTAGGGGATACCTTTTTGCACAAAATTGTCAGAAAACATTTTCAAGAGTCAACAGGCTAGTAGGAAGAGAAAGAAGAACAACAACCCTATTAGTATGCTTAGTCTCCTTGAATGTCCAGTCACAGGCTAGGCCGGCAGGCTGCTGATCAAACCCATATTACTTTAGCCCCAAAACAAACATTTAATATATTTCCGTTCACAAATTCTTAGATGTGGTGGCTGCATTGATTTCTTTAGATTTGTATAGGTCTTTTATTTGTACCAGTTAGTGTAGAGACAAACCATATCTCTAAAGAAGTAAAAAAAAAAAAAAAATAACATTTTGAAATGTTTTTCCTTTGAACCAAGTAAACATGTATATCTATCCATACATTTCTCTGGGAAGAAAAACTTGATTTGTAGAGAGATCAATGACTTAAGCTAAAATGGACACATATACAAGTGACTGCTCCTCATGTCTTTTGCTGTAAACATATTGTGACGGAAGCACAGGCAG